GAGTAGTTCGTGGGGTCGTATTAACGATTTCAAAATGTTAATGAATGATTTCTTAAGCAAAGAGATCTTGTGAACTGGTAATAGAGTCTATTGCTGTAAGCCTAAATAGGATGCGGAGAGTGCATCCTCGGGGGCAGAACCCGAAACTCGGTCCGGGTAGGCAAGGCACTTGGTTAGGTAAGTAATTTGTACTAATTACTTGCTGAAGCCTGTAAAACGGTTATTTACAGTTATATTTCCTTTGAGAAAAAGGATGTGAGGTTCCAGCTGTTCCGTCGGAACTGAATGTCTTATTTTATTTACTTATTCATTTATATATTTCCCTGGCACATTTATTGTTAATTTATTTATAATGTTTATTTCAAATTATATCCTACTGGGCCTTTCGCTCACGTTTTATGTATTAAATGTATTAAACCCCTCCCAGGAGACTCTAGGAGCGGTGCACAGTAGCTGGATATTGCTACGGAGCAGCTGAGTTGTGCTGCTGTTGGAATCAAGTGAGGATTGTGGTCATCCTCTGATACAAATGTAAGGAATTTGAGAAATTCTGTAAACTTATATAATATTTGGATTTACTAGACTGTGGTTGATGTCTGTTGTAATGATTATTTACATTAACATGTATGTACGATACTGTATGTCCTGTGGGGTGGAGCCCTGTGTGTCAGAGGCTCCGGGATTCTGTAGTAGTTTATTTATATTTTAACGCAGTTAAATGTGGGGCCTGGTTGGGAATCTTCTTTATTAATCTCTAATCAAGCTCTACGTCACCCACCCCGTTTAAGGGGCGTGACAATACTATAGGCATTAGCATTTGCATTAGAAATATCTTACCTTATTTTTGACAATGCTATTATTAATGCATTTCTAATCTTATTTTTGACAATGCTATTACTTGTATTAATGCATATACGTGTTATCCACGCACCCTAACGAGCGTGAGCTATCAAGACTTCTTGCAATCGTTGTTTAATCTTTCCCGCCAATAGTTTAATTCTCCCAGAGTTTTTAATAATCAACTTAACAAGCTTCTCAAGTTTAAATAATTAGTTTATTTGATACCCCAAAAAAAATAATATTTTGCTTGATATTTATTACATAATTAAACGGAAGGAGCAAGGACTAAGGAAGGGCTCGGTTCATGCTGTCTCTCTTAACCTCATTTGATTTGTCTCATCTCATTATGATAATTTGAATTTAATTTTTTGATAATATAAACCATCTTTAATCTAATTTAATTTTGTTAGTCTTGAAGCTATTCAAACCTTTTTGTCGTCACGTGGGTTGGATCACCCGCAAAAAATGTTAATATTGCCGCTTATACATTGTCGGGATTCACACGTGCGTTGGGATTGGAAGACACGTGCTTACCTCATGTCTCCACACGCTGTCCTTTGCTTTCCTCCATGCACTTTTAGGTTTGGGCCCCACTCTTTTGCTGACTCAGCCTCAAAAGGTCATAGAATTTTTATTTTTCCCGTCTTTATAGTTAAATTTAATCAAAATAAAATTAAAAAAATATGAAAAATAATTTTTAATATAAATTTAATAGTCAAAAAATTAAAAACTATCAATAATTTATTTTTCTGATTCAATAAGTGAAACTCTTTTTTTTTTTTCTTTTTTTTAAGATATATGTAGCAGGTTAAACTACTAGTAGATTTATGATAACAGTTACATATATTAAATACTTTATTATTTACATATTTTTATATTTTAATGTGATTTTGATAAGATTTAACGGTAAAAAAATGACATTATCATAAAAGAACCTTACTCTTTAGGGAGGGATTTGAGTTTGATATTTGAATGAAGGGCTAGAACCTTTCTTTTTAGAGAGGGATTTGAGTTTTGATATTTGAATGAAGGGCTAGTACAGATTTAACAATTAGATTTGGTTCCCAACATATGGGATGGCCAATGTATGAAGTTATTAGTGTGCACTTAGTTGCCAAAGGAAAAAAGTCAATGAAATTCATACTTATGTAATGGATTCAATGATGTATGCAACTTTTATTTGTGAAAGTCAAATATTTTTGCAAATTCTTATTTCATTTCACGACTGTTTCAATTTTATTGACAACTTATGATATGAGAGAGATTTTTTTTCTCTCTCTCTCTGTTTTTTTT